AAACTAGTGGGTGGTTGAGTGTACAGCTAGTGGTGGTTAGTGTACAGCTGGTGAGCTAGTGGTGGTTAGTGTGTGCAGTGGTGGTTAGTGGTGGTTAGTGTAGCTAAGTGTACAACTGGTGGTGGTTAATGTAAAGCTAGTGGTAGTTGTTACAGCTAGTGGTGGTTAGTGTACAGTGGTGGTGGTTAGTGTAAAAGCTAGTGGTGGTTAAAAGCTAATGGTGGTTAGTGTACAGCTGGTGGTTAGTGTAAAGGTAGTGGTGGTTAGTGTACAGCTGGTGGTGGTTAGTGTACAGCTGATGGTGGTTAGTGTAAAGCTGGTGGTGGTTAGTGTACAGCCGGTGGTGGTTAATGTACAGCTGGTGGTTGCAGCTGGTGGTAGTTAATGTACAGCCAGCGGTGGTTGAGTGTAGCTGGTGGTGGTTAGTGTACAGCTGGTGGTAGTTAATGTACAACTGGCGGTGGTTGGTGTATACAGCTGGTGGTGGTTAGTGTACAGCTGGTGGTTAGTGTAAAGCTGGTGTTTAGTGTACAGTTGATGGTGGTTGAGGCAGTGGTTAGTGGTGGTGGTGGTGGATGGTAGTGTACAGCTGATGTTGGTTAGTGTAAAAGCTGTTGGTGGTTGGTGTACAGCCGGTGGTGGTTAATGGACATCTGATGGTGGTTCAGTAGAGCTGGTGGTTAATGTGTACAGCTGGTGGTGGTTAGTGTAAAGCTGGTGGTGGTTAGTGTACAGCTGATGGTAGGTGTAAAAAGCTAGTGGTGGTTAGTGTACAGTTGGTGGTGGTTAGTGTAAAACTGGCGGTGGTTAGTGTACAGCTAGTGGTGGTTAGTGTACAGCTGGTGGTGGTTAAGTGTACAGCTGGTGGTGGTTAGTGTAAAGCTGAGTGGTGGTTAGTGTACAGTTGGTGGTGGTTAGTGTACAGCTGGCTGTGGTTGTGTGTACAGTTGGTGGTGGTTAGTGTACAGCTGGCGGTGATTAGTGTACAGCTGGCGGTGGTGGCTAGTGTACAGCTGGTGGTGGTTAGTGTACAGCTGGTGGTGGTTGGTGTACAGTTGGTGGTGAAGTTAGTGTACAGCTGGTGGTGGTTAGTGTACAGCTGGCTGTGGTTGAGTGCCACAGGTGGTGGTGGTTAGTGTACAGCTGGTGGTGGTTAATGTACAGCTGGTGGTGAAAGGGTTAGTCTACAGCTGGTGGTGGTTTAGTGTACACAGCTGGTGGTGGTTAGTGTACAGGTGGTGGTGGTTAGGTGTACAGCTGGTGGCAGTTGTGTACAGCTGGTGGTGGTTGAGTGTACAGCTGGTGGTTGGATTTAAGTTAGTGGTGGTTAGTGTACAGTTGGTGGTGGTTAGTGTACAGCTGGCGGTGGTTAGTGTACAATGGCGGTGGTTGAGTGTAACAGCTGGTGGTGGTTAGTGTACAGCTGGTGGTGGTTAGTGTACAGCTGGTGGTGGTTAGTGTAAAACTGGTGGTGGTTTGTACAGCTGGTGGTTAGTGTAAAGCTGGTGGTGGTGGTTGAGTGTACAGCTGGTGGTTGAGTGCAATAAGTTGAGTGGTGGTTAGTGTAGAGTTGGTGGTGGTTGTGTACAGCTGATGGTGGTTAGTGTAAAGCCGGTGGTGGTTAGTGTACAGCTGGTGGTGATGAATGTGCAGCCGGTGGTGGTTAGTGTAAAGCTGGTGCTGGTGGTGGTTGGTGGTTGGTGTACCGCTGGTGGTGGTTAATGTGTACAGCTGGTGGTGGTGGTACAGCTTGTGTGTACAGCTGGTGGTTTTGAGTGTAAAGCTGGTGGTGGTTAATGAGTGGTGGTTGACAGCTGGTGGTGGTTGTTAGTGTACAGCTGGTGGTGGTTAGTGTACAGCTGGTGGTGGATTGTGTGTACAGCTGGTGGTTAGTGTAAAGCTGGTGGGTGGTTGGTGTACTGCTGGTGGTGGTGTGCAGCTAGTGGTTAGTGTACAGCTGGTGGTGAAGTTCAGCTGGTGGTGGTTAGTGTAAGCAGTTGGTGGTGGTTGAGTGTACAGCTGGCGGTGGTTTGTGTGTGTACAGCTGGTGGTGGATTTGAGTGTACAGCTGGTGGTGATGAATGTACAGCCGGTGGATTGAGTATATGCTGGTGGTGGTTAGTGTACAGTTGGTGGTGGGTGGTCAGTGGTGGTGGTTACAGCTGGCGGTGTTTAGTAGGTGGTGCAGTGTACAGCTGGTGGTGGTTGGTGGTGGATAGTGTACAGCTGGTGGTGGTTAGTGTAAAGCTGGTGGTGGTTAGTGTCAAGCTGGTGAGGTGAGTTGGTGTAGTGTACTGCTTGTGGTGGTTAGGTGTACAGCTGGTGGTGGTTAGTGTAGTGTACAGCTGGTGGTGGTTAGTGTACAGCTGCGGCGCTGGTGGTGGTTAGTGTGGTGGTGGACAGCTGGCGGTGGATTCAGTGTGTACAGTTGGTGGTGGTTAGTGTACAGCTGGCGGTGGTTTGTGTGTACAGCTGGTGGTGGTTAGTGTACAGCTGGTGGTGAGGAATGTACAGCCGGTGGTTAGTGTACTGGTGGTGGTTAGGTGTAGCTGGTGGTGGTTTGTACCGCCGGTGGTGGTTAATGTACAGCTGGTGGTGGTTAGTGTACCGCTGGTGGTGGTTGGTGGTGGTGTATAGTGTAAAGCTGGTGGTGGTTAGTGTAAAGCTGGTAAAGGTGCCGGTTGCAGCTGGTGGTGGTTAGTGTACAGTTGGTGGTGGTTAGTGTACAGCTGGCGGTGGTTAGTGGTGTATACAGCTGGTGCCAGGTAATAGTGTAAAGCTGGTGGTGGTTAGTGTACTGCCGCAGGTGGTTAGTGCACAGTCAGTTAGTACTGGTGGTGGTTAGGTACAGCTGGCGGTGGTTAGTGCAGCAGCTGGCGGTGGTTTCAGCTGGTGGTGGTTAGTGTACAGCTGGCGGTGAAGAGCTGGTGGTGGTTTGCATAGCTGGTGGTGGCAGCGTGCACCGCTGTAAAGCAGCTGGCGGTGTGTGTGGTTAGTGCACAGTGCTGGTGTACAGTACAGCTGGCGGTACAGCTGGCGGTGGTTAGTAAGGCCGGTGGTGGTTAATGTGAGCTGATGGTGGCTTCAGTATAGCTGGTGGTATATAGTGCTGGTGGTGGTTAGTATACAGCCGGTGGTGGTTAATGGCCGGTGGTGTACAGCTGGTGGTGGTTAGTGTACAGCTGGTGGTGAAGTTAGTGTATAGTTGGTTGAGTGTGTACAGTTGGTGGTGGTTGGTGTACAGCTGGCGGTGGTTAGTGTTACAGCTGGCGGTGGTTAGTGTACAGCTGGTGGTGGTTAGTGTACAGCTGGTGGTGGTTAATGTACAGCTGGCGGTGGTTTGCATACAGCTGGTGGTGGTTAGTATACAGCTGATGGTGGTTACGTGTACAGGTGGTGGTGATTAGTGTACAGCCGGTGGTGGTTAATGTACAGCTGGTTGTAGTTTACAGATGGTGGTAGTTATCTAGATCGGTACTGAGGTTAATGTACAGCTGGTGGCAATTAGTACACAGGTGAAGAGCAATTCGTGTATATCTGGTAGCAATCAAACACTTACAGTAGTGACTGACTGTATACAGAGACCATAAGCTCATACCTGTTTCACATAGTACAGAGTAAACATGAATTAACAAGAGGTACAACACACTTCAATCATTCTAAGGGTGACTTTGGCATTCTTCTAAGACGACACCGGACATGCCTAAGAATGGCAAAAGACGTTTAGTCTGTAATTTTTTTTTTAATATATTTTTTCTGGCTAAGTTTACGTAAGAGATGATGGGTAAGATTTATTGCATTGATCGCTTGTCTTCGTCTTAATTAATGGGTCTATGACTTATGATCTTGACTTAGGATTGTCTGTCTGTCTGTCTGTCTGTCTCTATGTCTTTGTCTCTCTACCTCTGTCTGCGTATCTCTCTCTCTCTCTCTCTCTCTCTCTCTCTCTCTCTCTCTCTCTCTCTCTGTCTGTCTGTCTGTCTGTCTGTCTGTCTGTCTCTGTTTATATCTTTGTCTATCTATTACGTGTTTCTATAGTTTTTTATTTATTTCAGGTTGGTGAATGTCCGCCACAGCTACTGCAGCTTAAGGATCAGGGACGTGGATCACATACATACAGGAGGCTGGATCAGGTGGATGGATCAGGTATGTGGGCTGAGGATCACGACCATTGTATATAGGTGGGTGGATCAGGTGGATGGATCAGGTATGTGGGCTGAGGATCACCACCATTGTATATAGGTGGGTGGATCAGGTGGATGGATCAGGTATGTGGGCTGAGGATCACGGCCATTGTATATAGGTGGGTGGATCAGGTGGATGGATCAGGTATGTGGGCTGAGGATCACGGCCATTGTATATAGGTGGGTGGATCAGGTGGATGGATCAGGTATGTGGGCTGAGGATCACGATCCCAGTATACAGGTGGGTGGTTCAAGGTGAGTGATGTCATTTTACACACTGTGCTTGTTTTTTTATTTGTTTTTTTTCCCTTTTTGTATTATTTTATTTGTCTTTGCTGCTTTGTCGTAGACTTTTTCGTCTTCGTTTTGTTTTTGTCTTGGTGGACTTTATCGTATCAAGTCTTAATCAGTCTTTCTGTTTGTCTCTACCAATTTTTTTATACTTTTGTCTTTGTTTTGATTTTGTCAAAAATATATTTCGTTTTCTGTTTTTTCTTTGTCTCGATTGGCTTTTTAGCCAATGTTTTATGTGTGGTCTTTTTTTTTGTTTGCAACATTATCTTTTTTTCTACATTTTTACCGTTGTGTGTGTGTGTGGGTGTGTGTGTGTGTGTGTGTGTGTGTGTGTGTGTAAGTGTGTGTGTGTGTTCTTGTATTAGACCTTGTATGATTTCTGACAATATAGATTTTTATTTTTAGATCAGAAGAACCAAGATATACTCCAAGTGTTAGTCTAGCTATAACAGGGAGAACAGCAATATACAGTATATCATACATCAATAAATTAATTGATTGAGAGGTGATAGAGAGACAAACTCATTCTCAGTTAATTTTATAGGTATATAGGTTGGACACATAAATACATTAATGGGTCACAACACTTCACTTCATAGAGATAATGTGTGAAGAAGACATAACAGGCTTACAGAAAAAGTAACGAGACTTCAATTTTTTATCCAATGAAGAAATAAGATTGTGATGGTAGTAGTACTGGCAGAAAGAGACGTGAGAAACTTTATAAACTGTTCTTGTCGGAGAACAGCTACACGAAGGCAAAAGCTTCAGGTCACTGTTATAAGAATATAATACAGGAAGCTCTTCGACTTATCGTACCTTATCATGTTTATGTCGTAGAAGAAGAAACATCAAACTGGAATTAATGTAAAGAGTTAGAAAAAAAAATCCTATATAACACAGTTCTCCTGGAACGTCCACACATTTATGGAATAATCATAGTGGTGTGAAGAGACAGCACGTGGGTCATTTATGTGGTGCAGTTAGTCATCCATCCCATGAAAGATGAGGAGAAGTGGCGTCCCATGATTCTCTAAGGCTGTGAGGTACTTATTGTTGTTCATAGAATATTTGGCTCAAGTCGTATGGCACAATGGCACATTGTTCACTGACGGTAATAGCTTGATGATTTAACACCCTTTTGTTCATCACACAAGGATTCCAACCACGCTTGTAGGTGGTTTTTGATCCTTCTTTAGTGTGGATGTGGCGGAGGGTTGGTCGTCTTCCTCGGATAGGTTGAGTACAGGCAGCGTCCCCGTGGCTGCTGCTTCCTGCATCGATGACCCAGCCAACACCGGCCCTGTCACCAGCTCCATGGACTCCCGCGCCGCGCGTCGAGTAGACTCACTCACTGTTGGTGAGGACAGGGCGTGTGACAAAGGGAAATGTGTCATGGACTGCGAGGGAGACAAAGGCAGTGTCTGATCCACAATAGGCCTCTCTTCAGGCACCGACATGAGAGACTCCTGGCGCGGCAGACGACTTTCTTCAGGCACAATCCCGAGGGAGTGTTGTCGTTGTAATGGGAAGATCGGCCCCGAGTTTTGCCGCTGCAACGAAATATTTGGAGATGAATTTTGGCGACTGATGGCAAATACTCCTGGTCGTTTTGATGGCGGTGGACCGACTATGACACTGTCTTCCGGGACAGTGGTCATGGATCCCTGGCGGGCCAGAGGGCCAGGTGTCGAACCAGCCCGATGCAACAAGGAAACTAGCTCAGCCTCAAAGTTCGTCGGAGATTCTTCTAACGTAGGGAGAGCCGAGGATGGACGAGGGAAAGGACTGGGTGTTATTGGTGACTCTGGCGACGAGGCGTTGGAAATCGAGTGTTCACTGCGCTGGCGGTCATTGCTCAGCGGTAGCGCTCGAGGACGACTCATTGGAGGAACGTAAGAGACAGTCGGTGACGAGGACGACTTACCCAGTGAAAAATTCAAGGATGGTTTCATCGTATTGTCAATCGATGATTTCTGGGTGACCGCAGTAGCAGCTTCAGCTCTGGACACTGACGATCGATCCAGTAATTCGTGGCTATTATCATCTGCCATAGGAATGTCTTCCAGGGATATCTGTGATATCAGATGACCTGAGTCTTTCACTTCCCATGGGCTACTCTTCTTACCCTCGTATTTCGCCCTCCGCTCCCTTCTGTCTATACTACTTGTGTCTTTTCTCTCCAAGCTCTCATTTTTTTCTTTCTTCTTTTTCTCAGTATTGCTAGTGTCTGCACTACTGTGTTTCTTATCATCCTTGTGTTGTTTGGAATCCTTCTTGTCTTTCCTCTCTAATGTAGTTTGGTGTTTGTCATCCTTTTTCTCCTTTCTTTCCTGAGAGCTTTGATGTTTTTCTTTTTTTTTCTTATTTTCTAAACTGGACGTCTTGGCGTCTGTACCTTCAGCCTTTGCTTTATCTTTTTCTTTATCTTTTTGATCAGCAAATGAGACAGACTTAGTGAGGGAATGTCTGTTAGTTAGTCCTGATATGATGCTTGAGGGTTTGGCAAAGAGAGATTGATAACCTGTTGTCTTCGGTGTGTTGGCTGCCTGTGTAGTTGTTGAGGACTTAGTACCCGCCACCGTCGTGCTCGGGGAACTCGGAGAACTACCACTAGAGGTTTTCAAATTAACTGCTGAAGTTATCGAATAAGAGTTCGCTCTACCGCCCTTAGGTGAATAAGTTACGCTATAATCTTGACCTACACCCTTTTCCGCAGTTTTTAAGCTCTTGTGCTCTTGACTCGACTTTCCAGTAGAAGTTCCTTGAGTTTTGTGGCCTTGGTCAAGCGCTTTCGTGCTCCGGCTCGCAGCACTTGTACCACCACTAACACTACTGCTACTGGCGTGAGTCTTCATCTGAGGTTGACTGTGAGCTTTAGACTGAGTTTGAGGATCTGCTGTGGTGACGTGAGAGTCTTTGATGCTCTTCAGGACAGCTCTCACTTCCGCCACGAGCTCCTCGTATTCCTTCTTGCTCTTCAGCTGCTCTTGTCTTGCTCTCTCCGCCTCTCTCAAGGCCAAGTTAGCTGCGTGTTGCACCTTCTCGGCTTCCTGCAGGCCGGGAGGGAAGACATCAGTGTACAGTACTCATGGTAAGAGACGATTATATAAGCTTCACTTACTCTGTTTTATCATGAGTGTTTTAGTTTTTTAAATGAACATTTAGTTTTGGTTTTATTTGTAATATTAAGGGTAATAATTGTTTGTTGGTGTAAATAATGCAAGTCTTATAATTTTGCTTCGCCTGGTAGACGTAGGTGACTGTTATCATAACTTACCTTTCATCCTGTCGTGTAGCATAATGTTAAAGGTGTAATTTTTATGCCTTTACAAAACACACAATGGCATCTTACATTCTATTTCATTATTACTCAAGAAAATACTGAAGTTAATCATGCATAAATAACTTTATTTAATTTTGTTTTTTATTGCCACTAAAATATTGTGTTCAACTTCCAATTAAAGATTGTTTAGTGTATAACTCAAAAGGTTAATTTTATGTGCACTTTGATTTGTTTTACTCTTGCATATCATTAAAAAAATAGTTTTATGATAAACTGACATTAAATAAGGAAAACAAAAAATATAAAATAAATTAAATTACTTTGAGGTGATTATCATTTACAGTGATTTACAGTTGGGAATATTAGTAACAAAAAAAAACAAAAAAAAACAAGAAATAATAACACTAAGCAGTTGGGCCATAGAATCAAAAGCACATCATATACCATGACTTTTACTAAACCACGAACAGTATATCTCATCCTCTAAAAATTTCTAACTCAAAAAAAAGACAAAACAAACATAGGTCAAGTCACTAAGGGTACAGTGGATTATAAGTGTCTATGTTTAAGTCTTCTAAGCATTGTATTTTTATTGTAAGTTTTAAGTACAAGTGGACAAACTACTTTTTTTTAATTTCCCTCTCGAAACTTTCTTACTTTCACCGGTGACATAGTGTCTGCTTTGATCTAGAAGGGAAGACAAACACTTGTTATCACATGGATGACGATAAAGGCTTAATATATGGCAAGAAGAGTGAGTGATAAAATGTGTTCTTATGGTGAAGACAAAGAGACAGTGAGTGATAAAATTTGTAATTATGGTGAAAACAACGAAGAAACTGTAAAAAAAAGAATATAATGGGCAATAAAATATATAATTGTGTTAATAACCAGAAGACAATAAAAAATATTATGTTAGATACAATGAGAGAGAAAATGTGTAATTATGGTGAAGACGAGAAGACAATGAGTAATAAAATACGAAATTATAATAAATTAAACAAAGCCATAAAATAAAACTTATTAATAAAATACAAGAAATCTAACTGTGAAGTAAAATAATACCTGGAAAAATACTGAAGGAAGTAAATGAGACGATAAGAAAGATTAAAAATTTCGAGTTAAGAAAAAATCAAGACAAAACAATACTTACTAAAAATGACAACTTGTAAAGAAGAAAATAGGCCATAGATGTGAAAAAGAGATGAAGGCAACATGTGTTTAAAGGAGTCTTTTGTATTTTACAGAGGACAAGAAGGAAGACAGACCCTTTGTAGCAGAGGACTTTATTATATATGCTGTAGCCTAGATTGGGTCATATGAAGATTAACATCCCCAATTTATGTTCCCTGGTGGTTAAACACCTTACGCTACCTGGAGGGATTAGATTAGGTTAGGTTAGGTGAGTTGTGATTAGGTAAGGTTAGGTTAGGTTAGATTAGATTAGATTAGATTAGGTTAGTTTAGGATAGGGTGCTTAATCATGAGAGGAAATAAGCTGGGGGGCGTTAATCTTCATATGATCCCGAGATTAACCTGTGATTTCCTTCTAAGTAATTCAGAAACGATGAAAGTATCAGGAATATGTGATGACAACACTAAACAGATAAGAGGAAAATAATGATGAAAATTTACGAAGGAAAGGAAAAAAAATATGTGTAAATGATTGAGATCACACACACACACACACACACACACACACACACACACACACACACACACACACACACACACACACACATCAGTATCATACGAAAACAAAATAAAATAAATAATATAAAGGATTAATAGCTATAAGTTAAGGATAGCTTGTTTGAAATAAGAAAGAAAGAAAGAAATCGTATAATAAACCGTGGGAGGAAGATACCAAGGATGGAGAAACAGCAATAATAAATAAAATAATAAAACAAAGTCTTATAAATAACTTAAGATTAATTTCGTCGCAAGAAGAAACTGAAAGGAAAATAATAAATGATTAAACGTGAAAATAAATGGAATAAACCACTTAAATATAGAGGCGTAGAGAAGAAGCGAGCAATCCTGATAACAGCGTATGGATAATGATGCATAATGATAATAATGACGATAATAATGTTGATAAAGATGATGATTATAACCATAAAGATAACAAAAATGATGAAGATGATGATAACAATGATGATAATAATACTAATAAAACTCAAGACTATTAAAGGATAAGACAAACATTCCCTTAAGACAATCGTGTATTGAATATGACAGCAAACATGTAACAGTATAACATCAACATAAAATACTTGTCAATATCGAGGTTCTTTGTACACAAATAATGAGGTAAATTCATTAATTCCGGTACAGATATATATATTACTAGACAACCCCTCTTAAGTTAACCTTGTCATATCGGACGCTTAACAGGAATTACAGAGAGAAGGGGAGCAGCAGTACCGTTTAAAAATGGAGTGTAGTGGATAAGGGGAGGAGGTGAGGGAACGGGTGAGGAGGTTAACATGTACTTGTTAATGGTTAAGTTAATGGGGCAGGGAAGGGGTGGGTAGGTTAACATGTCGTACTTGTTAATGGTTAAGTTAATGGGGCAGGGAAGGCTTGGGTAGGTTAACCATGTCATACTTGTTAATGGTTAAGTTAATGGATTATTCAACATTTATAAACATTTGTTGATGTTAAATATGACAAGTTTATATAAGAAGGACTTGTTAAGACTAGCAATCATTTAGGTATAGATAGACTAATTAAATATATTAATGACGTATACGGGGTAATTAGGATACTTAATGATATTAATTGGGTAATATAGGGTGTTTACTTCCATGTGTTGGGAGAATATTATTGATTATATTAACAGACGATCACAAAGGGGGTGTTAAGGAGGAAGGAATATTGACACAGATACAACAATTTGAGAGAGAGAGAAAAATTACACGTGACAATACCGAGGCACTGAACACCTTTTTGTTATTATGGGGATAACTGGAATATTGGCCATCTTTTTGTCAGTGGGTGGCTCTTTCCTTTAGTGGGTGGCCATGCTGAGTCAATGGCTATATCCACCAGTCGGAGGCCATCTTTGTTCAGTCAGTGGCCATATCATTTCAATGGATGACCATACCTATTAATGAGTGGTGGCCATACTATACCAGCATGTGGGTAACTATACGAGATTTCTGGTGGCCATGACTAAGTACCATACATAACACTCGACAATCATACCAGGTTCTAGATTCTCAAAGATTCGTAAGTTAATTTTTCCCCTAAACTGGAAATGTGAGAAACACATCTAAAAAGTTCCCTTTAAGTTCTCCCTCACCTCTTCTACCTTTCTCTCCTCTTTAATCTATACTACCCCTCATCTCCCCTCACTATCCCTTCTATTAATAATATTGTCTTTAGTTGACATTAAATGAATCCTTTAAATTTACTCCCTTTGAGAATCTAAATCCACTGAATACCACATGAGGAAAAATATGGAAGGAGTCGAATCAACGAATCCCAGTTCCTGACATAGTCTTCGATCACGATATAACAAGGTTAACTGTATGTCTGTATTAGGGATTAAGAGAGAGCTAAAGTCCATGATGATGATCCAAATCCTCAAAAGATCATAAGTTAAATATCTCTCGTAACTGGTGACGTAAAAGAATACACTCTAATCTGTTCACTTCAATGGAAACTAATATGGCTTTAGAACTGCGCCATGACCATACCTTAATTACATGTCTCTCTCGTTCTCTTAAACTCCTCCAGCTACTAAAAGGACAAATTTAACGTAAGTTCCTCTGAATATCAAGACCAAAAACACACAGTTACAAGTCGTTCCTCAAGACACCACGATACTATATATATATATATATATATATATATATATATATATATATATATATATATATATATATATATATATATATATATATATATATATATATATATATATATATATATATATATATATATATAATTTCTTTTTTAACCTAACTTACGGTTTTCTGTGACTTAGTATTATCAATATATTAAAGCGAAAAGCAGGTGATGGGATATAGAGTAAGGGAGGGAGCGAAGAGAGAATAGAATGTGGATAGTAAAGGTAAGAGGATAAATGACAGTGGATAATGAAGTGAATGTGGACAAGAGATACAGTAGAATGTCAAACAGAAAAAAATAGTGTGGATAAGTAGAAGAATAGTTGGATAAAATGGACATAAGGGAAAGAGGTGATAACAAATGGATGGTGGAGGGGATAGACACTGGATAGAATGTGGACAGGGGAAGAGGAAGATACGAAGAAAAGTGAATAGACAGCCAATTGTGAATATAAAGGATAGCGGAAAGAACGAAGGACACTGGATAGATGGACAATAGCGTATACAAATGATATTTGATGATAAATAGATATAAAGGATAGCACATAGAACGGTTATAGCATTTACGTATGATAGATAATAGACAATAGATTAAGAGAAACAGTAAATAGAAGGAGACTTTTATTATGATATGTAAGGATGATTGTTCTGGCCACGTTAGGGTAATTTAATAACGTGTGATATCAAAACAGTTCATTTTGTTTCTTTTAAAACAAACTGTAAAGTCCCTATGGGAATTTATTTGCTTTACAGTGATGTTCTGCCAAATAATAATAATAATAATAATAATAATAATAATAATAATAATAATAATAATAATAATCTTTTATCTTTTTTAAGTGGGCAATTCTCAACGACTTTGATTATGAATTAGAAAAAGGAGATACGTATTTACCATCAACAATATTCCAGTACAAATGAAGTGAATGAGAATGAAAGATAAGAATTATTAGAAAAAGGAAAAATACTGTGGATTTGTTTGTAAAGATCATAGTAAGTTAGTGAGTGAACTTCTCTGTGTCTTATTTGCTCGGATTATTATTCGACCTCCTCGGATGTTGATTCGATTTTCGCAGATAATGACTCGATAACCGCGGATGTGGATTCTATAATTGCGCATTTTGACTCGATCTTCACGGACGTTGACTCGATTTCCGTATTCATCAATTCGATTTACACAGATGGTGACTCGATATCCATGTATGATGACTCGATCTCTGTGTATGCTGAGTTGATTTGAGTGTTCATTGATTTGACCTGTGTGATTTTTGCGTACATTTACTGGATATGCTTGTACGTTAACTTTATATGTGCGGACGTTCCAGTGAGGTGTACGAACATGCACTGTCCACTGGTCTGTGCATACGTACGTTTGGTATGCCTTTGTGTACGTTCATTTCCGAGTACTTATATTCACTAACATGCGCTTACATCACCTATTTCAACTTCACCAAACCCAACAACGAAACATATAAAAATACAAACATTATTGCATAGACAGACAACACCGTATATTATGAACATTAAGGGAACGTTCGCTAGATCCTGAACCACATCTCGACCCTTGGCAGAATGGTCAACATTGACAGCAAAGTTCCCACCAACAGGACTACTGAACCATCTGTATTCGGACCAAAACCCTAACCTACCACGAAATACCCAAGACTACCCTGACCTTAATGAGTATTCTTTGGGTTGGTTAGGTTAGGTTAAACTAAGTTACAGTACATTAGATATAGATAGATCAGGAGAAGTTAAGTTAGATGAGGAAAAGTTAGCTTGGGTTTTTAAATTTGGTTAAATTAATTTCATGCACATTTGTTCAAGATAGACGAAGTTTGCATTGGTTAGGATAGTTTTGGTTAGGTTATGTTAAATTCGGTAGGGTTAGCTCAGATCTTGTCAGGTTTGGTTAAAATTATAGTCAGACATGCCAGGGAAGGTGCGTGGCTCTACTTTTAAAATGAAAATAAAAATAATAATAACGCAGACCTATTCGTGGAACATTCCTAGCAGTGGTCGTCATGCTTTCTCTCCCATACCCGAGAGACGGTCTGGTCGAGTGCGCTCATGTGAAGTGTGAGTTAGGCATCACTTATTATAGAATTGATTTACTAAGCAAATTACTTTTTTTTGGCACCCCTTATAATTTATTTGCACTTATCCTGTCCTAACTTTTAATGAGAGTCATATATTTATTTTTCCTTAGTTTTAAGTTAATTCACACCTTACATAAGTTGTTGTAGCACTATTTATTGTCTCAAATTCATGTTTTTTTTTTTTTTTTTTTCAGTTAGGAGAATAATATAATTTTTATTAATATAGAAATCAACACATCATTAAGACCAATTCACCATTTTTTATTATTATTATTATTATTATTATTATTATTATTATTATTATTATTATTATTATTATTATTATTATTATTATTATTTTTATTTTAGCGCATAACAATTCGCTCATATCCACTTCTCAAACTACACACTTCTCAGTTTCTTTACATAACGACGCAATATGTACTGTGTATATATTGAACCCTAAAGAACACCTGACAACAATATCAACAATTTTTTTCTTCATATATAAAGTTCTTGAGTTGCACGTAACAACAGTCTCTCTCTCTCTCTCTCTCTCTCTCTCTCTCTCTCTCTCTCTCTCTCTCTCTCTCTCTCTACTCACATTAACATACAACCTAAGTTAATAAACGCCATTACAAAAATTCACACATACTGATAAATACCTGCATGTGGTATAGAATACTATGTTTATGTATTGTTTTATGAATGAAGAAATATAACAGCTGATTACACAAAGGTGGGCAACTCGTACAGTGATTGATAGTCCGTTTTTTGGACAGCTAGTTTGTGTTTTGGTAGAGACAGCACGATCCGTTTTCTGCCTGTCGTTCTTATTACAGTTAGGGATCTCTGTGCTGTAGATACCTTCTTGTGGTAGTAAGAACGTGTCTTAACTGTGGATCTTGTAGTGGTTTGATGCCCGTTCTTCAGCTGTTGAGTTTGTATTATATAGTCGTTCATTTTGCTGCCGCTCTTGTAGCTGTAGGTAATCCATCCTATAGCTTCCGTTCTTGTAGCTATAGGTAATCCATCCAGTAGCTGACGTTCTTGTAGTTGTAGATAATCCGTCCTAAAGCTTACGTTTATGTAGCTGTAGGTAATCCACCCAATCGCTGACGTTCTTGTAGTTGTAGATAATCCTTCCTATAGCTGCCGTTCTTGAAACTGTAAGTAATTCACCTTATAGCTGTAAGGAATCCGGCATTCTTGTATTCAGAGTTAATCTATTCATTTGGCTGCCGTTCTTCTCATAACCACAAGACACGTTCAGCAGCTCAGTGTTCTTTTAGTAACGTGGACATGTAGCCTGTGATTGCCATTCTTCATATAACATTATAACAATAATCTGTATCTATATATATATATTTATTTTTTTTTAACCTCAAATCAGAAAACTCAAGACTTAGGGATTCGCATTCTGCTAGGGTAAAATCTGTCTGTTAGTACTAACCCTTGTGTCATGACGGCCTGAGTTGATAATGAATTACAGTAGTTATGTATGACCGACACCTTGTTGATCTTTTTATGTAATTTGTGAAAAAAATTGAATGAAGCGTTGTCTGTTTTTTATACCAGATTGTGAAAAAATTATGTACCTGGGAATGAAGTTTTTTTTTCTTAATGCTTGATAGAACGAACGCCTGTTTTGTTTTTTGTACTGAATAAATTGGATAAATGTTGTTGACTGACTGTAATAATATTTTTGTGTTGAAGAATACTGTGTTTTTGTATTATAATATTCAGTGCATTTCGTAAACATGTGCATTTGGTGTGTTTATTTGTATGAAAGTCTGTTTGTTCTAAAGCTTAACATCTTAACCAAAAATCAACCATATAACATGATTTCCAGAGAGCTTAAGTATAAACGAGGTTAACATATTTTGTGCTTATTTAAAGATTTATAATAATTGTCTTTTATCGTCTAATTAAAGCATCGTACTGTTATTATACCTGGTGAATATTCTACATAATTATTAAGTGAGGAGTTTTGTAGTTGAGACACTAAGCGGCAGAATGTTGGTCGTGTAGCAGGTAATGTTGTGTTCTTTATATACATTACAGTGAGTTCATAGTTACCATCGACTGTGATTGGCTACGTCCCCTTTATCTCTTTACGCAAAGTTGGGTTTTAGGTTAAGTGTCTTCATCAGTACTAACTATTTCTAAATTTCTAAGTGAGATTATATCCAGTATTAATATGGTACTTAACTAATTTTTGGTGATTTATTAAGAAAAAAAGTGTTCTTCACTTTGTTGACAATAAATCAATTTGTATCTTTTATTTAAGTTTCTATGGTGTTTTAGCTTGTTGAGTCGTGTTGTAGCCTCACCCCTGAGTACTGTACTTGCCTTCACCTGTCTGTGTTTATTTAACTTTCTCCATCTGCTTTTTCTTTGTCATTCACCAAGTTATTGATACATTTTTCATTAATCATAAATGCATAATTTTATCTCTAATTACCTTTACATGAACTCGCTTCTGAATTATAATGAAATTTTTCGTCACAACACCAGGTGTCAGTTAATAATTTGGTCATCACGTGTGATGCAGCAGGGAGTTAATGAGGAGCAGTCCACAGAAGTTTGTTTCACCATCATCTTATTGTGAGGGAATGTGTTGAAGAAAGATGATCCTGAGGTGTATGAATCAGTGAGCAAAAGCCACAGTTTTGACATGTCAGGTTTAGCACTATGACGTCATCAGGTGAAGCATTGGTGGATGCATATTGAAGTTTGATTTACTGGTCTTGTTAACAGTTATATGTTGTTCTCTTGGAGTGATCTATGTTTATTTGTGCTACATTGACTAGATATTGTAGCTCGTTTCTGTTCTCTCACTGGAGCGATGCTTGTGGTCGTCTCCTAATGAAGACGGGCTGCCTCCCTCCTCTCACTATACAGAAACTGGTGATGATGGCTGTGGGCTCCTCTGTCACTCACTACACAGGGCGATGATCAGTCTCCACCATTAAGGCTAGAAATACTTAAGCTGTAGATATGTTAGTGGTCCTTCTGAGTCTGCAGACTGACACATTCGTTAGTACCTTAGCAGATGTTAGTAGCAGGTAAGTATACGTGTTAGTATTGAGTTGATTGGAGGAGTTAGTAGATGCTGGGTTGGGAGGTTACCAGCAGAGTGAACTTGTCCACAACTCAGGTGTTGGATGGGAAACATTACCTTGGCAGCGAAGGTGATCTTCTCCTGGGCTGTGATGGCCTCTTGAGTTAGGTTTGAGAGCGTAGATGTGATGGTATCAGTATCCACCTGCAGTGCCAGCACCGCCTCCTTCAGCGTGGTGACCTCTCGCCGCGTGTCTGCAATGTCGCTTGTAATGTTGAACACAGCTCGGTCAACCTCTACGACATGTCGCTGCAGGTGGCGCACGGCGGTGCCGAAGCGGCTAAGATCATGGGACTTCTTGCGTCCCTGCTGCTGCTGTGGGTGCTGCTGCTGTTGTTGCTGTTTGCGGTATTGGGGGCGAGGATGTTCAGCGGCGCGGCATGTGCTGCCTTCACTACCGACGTCACTGGTGGAGTCCATGATGGCGCTGGTGTGCTGGATACTTTGGTTCATCAACATGTTCTCCAGGTCATCCATAGCTGGCGAGGCTCTGCCAGCCACATCTCCATTAAGTCTGAGAGAACACCTGGAGCCTCCCCACTCCTCCCCAGGCGATCCGTGCCACTCCCCAACCAGACCATACATCCGTCCATCCCCCAGTGAGCGTTTCGAGCCCCCAAGGTCCCCTTGAGAGCCCCGAGCATCCCCCAGGGAGCTATGTAGGACCTGGCGCCCCGCTAGACCCATAGCAGGGTTCTGACGCAATTCTAGACCGTAGGAGGCGGAGCGGGGGGGCAGGGGCGGAGGCGGCATCCCCGAGGCTGACGTGGGGAAGGAGTCCGAGTGGGAGTTGTCGCCATCGTCGTCATGTTCCTCATCATCTGAAGAGTAGTTGTAGGCCTTGTAGGGGCGGGCTGGCCGGCCCTCCTTCCCGGCAGTTGCTCCCGTCCCTCCGTCAACTCCGTCATCCAGCACATCCAGTGACCGGTTCAGCCACGGCGCGTCACTGAAAGTACAATACACATTAGACCTTGTGTTGACATTATACCTACAACAGACAGGCAAGATAATATCTTTGTTCAGCTTCGGGTAAACATTTTGAGAAAACCAGGAATTAGAGTTGCTTTAAACTACATGTTTATTTTTCCAATTCAAAAATCTTCTTACATGATGTTGAAGAGAACCTCTTAACTAAATAATTTTTATTGTGCTCCTCGGTGTCGGGTGATCATGTAGTCGTCACTTTGCTCGTCTGTCTGTCCCGTATTTCATGTACGGTATGTAATTTTCTTATCCAGTGGAGGAATCTATTACATGTGCATTATTTATGAACTTATTTGGACCATAGAATTGATAATGCTATTGAGGATCTCAACGTTTCTAAAATAAGTTAACGTTGTTTTCCCTGTTTCTAAATAATCGTTTTATCGGTGTTGCTACCTCCGAAATGTACCAAGAAGAGGAAAAATTGATGTATTGAAGAAATGGTGAAGAATAAAAGTTTACTAACACATTAACAACAAAAGAGTGAAGTAAGTCCACAGCCCAGCCTCTCAGACAGCGATAAAGTGCCACCAGTTTTTCTCCAGTTGTTAGAAACTTCTCCAACTCTCGTAAAACTCTGAGCCGCCTCTTGTGTTCCTCTCTCAACGTTAATGAATCATAAAGCAAAGCTAAAGTGATCGATGAGGTTGGAGGCGGCACGCGACGGCAAGTCATTCCTCAAGAGATATATCCGGCAGATATTTCATTAATTTTCTCTTCTTATACTTTTTAGAAATTTTATCAATTTTTTGAAGGAGTTATCGAAGATTTTAGAGTTAATTTTTTTCTTTTCTTTTGGTGAATTAATCTTGTATAGGCCTTCTGGGTGTCCATTTGTTATTAGTTTTTGAACGGAAGGAGATTTTCTGGTTCAAATTTTCAGTTCAAAAGTAAGAGAATACCTTACAAACACCAACACAGGTTTTAAATCAGTTATAGGTAGGAGTTATTTAACATTTAGTAACAGTGCTATTACAAGAGACAATGAATACAGGTTATTAGTAAGGTGAAAAATCTCTCTCAAGTTGTAAAAAAATATTATTATTTTTTTCAGTCAGTAACTCGGTCAGTTATTCGGTCAGTCCATCAGTTATACAGTTATCCATTTAGTCAATCTGTCATTCACTCAGTAATTCAGTCAGTGAATCGGTCATTCAGTTATTTAGTCAGCCATTCAGTCGCTCACTTAGTTAGCCATTCAGTCGCTCACTTAGTCACCCAGCTAATTCTGTGATTTAGTTACTCACTCACTCAGTTATTCACTTAGTCAGTTGCTCACCCAGTCAGTCATTCAGTAAGTGAGTCAGTCAGCCAGTCAAGAATAAATCACTGGGATAACTAACATAAAGTCACTCCTGAACATAGATACAATGCAATATATGGGTCCTAAACCAACTTAATGACACAGTGTGGTGGGTCTACAGGCCTGGTCTGGATGAGGAGCTACGGATATGTTGTAGTCGGTCTGTTAAGTCAGGCAATGAGTAAAATGTCTATAAATACCGTTTGATGTTGTATGTAGGGTATGTTTGGTTAGCTTATGATAGGTTAGGTTTAGGTTATTCAGTGTGAAGTTTGATGAAATTTTAACGTCTTAGCTAACCTAACCTAACCCAACCTTATCTAACCTAACCTAACCTAACCTTATCTAACCAACCCTATACTAACCTAATCTAACCTAACCCCAAATAACCTAAGCTATCCAGTTCACAACATGGTAACGAAACATTTTCACGGGGATTTTACACGTAGCTTGACTTGACAGGTTGACCTTAACAAATACATGTTTTAATTTCTCGTGGGGTTTGTTAATATTCAGAAACACATAAATAAGATAATTTCATGAAAGATAGATAGAGTTACACACACACACACACACACACACACACACACACACACACACTAGCACACAAGACAGATATATAGCATCTCAGGATTCACTCTAGATGACATGATATGAAGTAAACTCTACAGAACGTGGCATGAACGTAATTCTAGAGAACGTGGCATGAACGTAACTCTAGAGAACGTAGCATGAATGTAGCTCTAGAGAACGTGGTATAAGAAGATAGAAGAACATAAGAAAATAAGGAGTCTGCAATAGGCCGATTGGCCTGTGCATGGCAGCTCCTATCGGGAGTTACAACCACCCTCTATCGTCCATGAATCTATCTAGCCTCCTTTTAAAACTTTCCAGCGTTCCAGCGTTCCACTCGTCTACCACCCTATTTGTGAACCAGTTTCTTCTTATCTCCCTCCTAAACCTAAACTTATCCAACTTAAATCCGTTGCTACGAGTCCTATCCTGCTTGGATATTATAAGAACTTTCTCTATATCTCCTTTATTGATTCCTTTCACCCACTTAAATACTTCTTTCATATCTCCCAGCACTCTTCGTCTTTCTAGGGAATGCAAGTTTAGTTTCTTTAATCTATCTTTATAGGGAAGGTTTCTAAGTCCCGGAATCATTTTCGTCATTCTTGGTTACACCGACTCTAGTGAGTTGATATCCATTCTATAATAAGGGCACTAGAACTGAACAGCATAGTCGAGGTCCGGCCTGACTAGCGCAAGATATAGTTGCAATATGACCTCCGCACTTATTGCTTACACTTCTAGATGTAAAACCTAATGCTCTGTTTGCCTTATTTCGAACATTAACGCACTGTTCGTAACTCTAGAAAACGTGGCATGAACGTAACTCAAGAGAACGTGGCATGAACGTAACTTTACAGTTGAGAACGTGGTATGAACGTAACTCTACAGTAGAGAACGTGGCATGAACGTAACTCTAGAGAACGTAGCATAAACATACCCTAGAGAACGTGGCATGAACGAAACTCTAGAGAACGTGGCATGAACGAAACTCTAGAGAACGTGGCATGAACGTAACTCTAAAGAACGTGGCATGAACGAAGCTCTAGAGAATGCGGCATGAACGTAACTCTACAGTAGAGAACGTTGCATAAACGTAACTCTAGAGAACGTGGCATGAATGCAACTAAAAATAAAGAGGATTCGAGAATGTGTGTGTGTGTGTGTGTGTGTGTGTGTTGCAGGCAGGCAGGCAGGCAGGCAGGCAGGCAGGCAGGGAGGCAGGCAAGCAAGCAAGCAAGCAGTTCCCCACATTACCTCGCCACTCACGTACGACCTGTTGCTGCCCATTCTAGCTCAGTGCGTTTTTTGCCACCTGTCGCATCGCCCCGTCCTGTGGCCCCCACCAATATATTTCTCGTTGCTCTCTTGCTGCAGCTTTTCACAATATTCTCTATGGAACTTCGTGGATTTTGTGGTATTTTGTATGGACGTTCAAGATTTTTTTTTTTAATACTGACTGACAGAAAGAGGGAGAGAATGAGAGAGGCAAAACAGAATGAAAGCGAGAAAAAAGCTCTGGGTGGAATATTGGAAGATTCGTGTATATTCTGTTCGGAAATTCATATTTTTGTTTCGTTTTTAAGTGCTGTGTATGAAGGACAGATCTTTTAAAATTCTCTATATCGATTCTCTGAGCTATTAAAATTCCCACTTAACTAGATACGTGAGGATGTATTTAACTTGCCGAACACAAAAGATGACAATCAAAATGAAGTCAAAATTACCTTGAGACTTACTGTAAGAAAATAAATACTTTCTCTCATCTTTAGTTATGAGGAGAAACTTAAAGACTCGGGGCTCTTAGAGGTTGGAAAAAAGTTCGTTTGGTGAGAGAGACCACACATATAATAAATCATTTACCAGTAGATTAATATGGGACCACCGGGAATTATACCAATACACCATCCTGATCTCCTCAACTTTAAAGAGTTTTAATGTCTCCCTCCCGCTTATCCTTCGCGTCATCTCCGCTAGGTTTAAAATTTTCTAAAAGTTGGATTAGAAATTTTAATAACATGAATGCTAGGGTGAGTTTCCTAAATTGGCTTTTGTCACTCGAGTAGTTAGGAGTTAGGACCTCGGGATTGGTTAGAGCTCCGTGGAGTGATCTATGACACTAGGGCGTCCTAAGGTTAAGGGCTCCGTCCATGGTTGTGTCTTCCATCTTAGGAAATCGCCCTCAGAGCTCTCGATTTCCTACCACATTTTTGTTTTATCTTTGATGTATCTTTAAGAGAACGAAAAAAAAAATTACGATAGTTGACCCTCAAAATCAGTTAAGTTATGTTATATTATATTGTGGTAGATTGTGTCGTGTTAGCGTAGGTTATACTAGGTTATGTTAATGTTATATTGTGGTAGAATGTGTCGTGTTAGCGTAGGTTATACTAGGTTATGTTAATGTTATATTGTGGTAGAATGTGTCGTGTTAGCGTAGGTTATACTAGGTTATGTTAATGTTATATTGTGGTAGAATGTGTCGTGTTAGTGTAGGTCATACTAGGTTATGTTAATGTTATATTGTGGTAGAATGTGTCGTGTTAGCGTAGGTTATACTAGGTTATGTTAATGTTATATTGTGGTAGAATGTGTGGTGTTAGCGTAGGTCATACTAGGTTATGTTAATGTTATATTGTGGTAGAATGTGTCGTGTTGGCGTAGGTTATACTAGGTTACGTTAATGTTATATTGTGGTAGAATGTGTAGTGTTAGCGTAGGTCATACTAGGTTATGTTAATGTTATATTGTGGTAGAATGTGTACGGTGTAGTGTTAGCGTAGGTCATACTAGGTTATGTTAATGTTATATTGTGGTAGAATGTGTCGTGTTTGTGTAGTTATGAATATATTTCTAAGATACTATAGTTAAGGCATCAAGCGTTTTCTACTGTCACGGTAATTATATCCTTCCCACTCTAACCTGGCCCGTAAGCCCCGCCCCTCGTCTCCAGCTATAAATAGTACCTGATTGGTTCCCCTGAGCGTCTTAGCCCCCCCCCCCTCCTCCCGGACTGCACGTATATAAATATTTAATATTTTCTAACACCCTTTCTGAGGTGCTAATGTCTTGAAATAAATTGCTTT